CAAAGCGTTTCCTTGTATCTCGGATCGCGGCGCTGCGCGGCGCTGCGTGACCCGGCCGAATGCTGCGAATGCAGCGACAATGTTGCAGCAGTGTCCCTACAGTGTCCCTACAGTGGCCCCGCCTCGGTGCCACTCGGCCTGCTTGTTGTCTCGGACTGCGCGTCCGAGGCGCTGTGGCGCGCAGCGGAGTCATGTCCGTGACGGGGCCAATTTTAGCGTCAGCCCGACCCCCTCGCCGACTTGCAGCTTTTCCTTGCCGTCTTGGGGCAGCGCGCCACCGACAGATTCTGTTTTACAGTCACTGCGTCGGGTTGATGATGATTGAAATTGTTCATTCAAAGACAAGCTGTCAACAGTGGGCATCTTTAACAGTTTGGTGTGGTTTGAGATCGGACGGACCGAAAAGCGCCGAATTTACTGGCGAATTTCGGGGAGCATTCGCAACGGCCGGCAGTGCGCTGAGGTGTCGTTGCGCGCGATACGATACGGTCACGGCAGTGTGGTGGCAAATGGAGGAAGACAACTAAGACGAGTGTTATGGGAATTTATTGGTCCGGGGCCGAGCCAGGTGCTGGGAGCGCAGCAGGGCCCCACTGGACCAGGGATGTGATATGTGTGTGTGTGTGTGTGTGTGTGTGTGCGTGCGTGTGTGTGTGTGTGTGTGCGTGTGTGTGTAAAGAGGGCCAGGGGCGCTGCCCCGAGCTCAGCCCTAACTGGACGGGCCTTCTCAATTCGTCCGAGCGTTTATCAAAGAGCGGCGTGTAGAGGGCCGGGGACTGTCCGGGCTGCCGCCCGCTCCGGGTGTGGCTGCCCCCCCCCTTCCCCTCCCCCTTCCACGCTTCCTCCGGCAGCAGGGTGACACCACAGCCGCCCCCGGGACACCTCGGGCAACCGCACTCAGCCGCCCCGGCAAAGCATTCCCCCGGGGCTCACGGACATTAAGAAAAAAAAATAATCGAAAAACGACAGCGTGAAAAAAAATCTTTTTCAGCAATTTATCTCTTCTTATAAGGTTGGTTGCATCCAATGTTGATTTCATAAAACGATTTTACAACGCCTACGTTATGTTTTCGTGTTACGAAGCTATACTTTGACCTTCCACCTGCGCAGCGTGAATCCCGATGCGCAGGCTCCATCCCTTCACTATTTCTTGATTGATGGACACCGCTTGCAATTTGTTTTTGCGCGCTGGTCAACGCCAACCTAGGTAACTCGCAGGGTGCACGTACAACGCAGTCTCTGGAATTGCCAGGCGTCTCCTTGGAAAATAGACCCAGACCTCTTGCTCCAGCGGTGACCTGGAATCCCCAAGTGGGCACTGCTTTTGCCGTGTGCAGTCGGTTGACGCGGCGCTGCGTTTGGCTGCTGTGAGTCGCTGGCAGCACGGCGCAATAAACCGACCGTGGAGGGGGGGGGAGGGGGAGGGACCATCGCAGTTCGACTGGACACCGTGCCTCGCCGGGCGGAGCAAAAAGCAGCCGTCACGCCCCGAAACAAACGGGCCGCCCCTAGCGCCACCAGCGGCACGAGTCGTCTTTCTCTCTTTGTTGTTGTTGTTGTTGTTTCGGATGCAATGATGGAATAACGACTGGGGCGGGCGAGTTTCAACTTCCAACTTTGAAGCCCGGGGCCCAAATCTATGTCCAGCAGCGCTGGATCCGAGGAAGTGCGGCGAAGTCTGTGGCAGTTCGAGGAAGTCCAAAGAAGTCCACAATGCACTACGAAAAGCTCTTAGGAAGCCCAAGGAAGTTCAAAGGAAGTGGAAGTCCGAGGAATTCCAAGGAAGTCCGAGCCGAGGGAGTTCAAGGAAGGGGGACGCAGGAGCAGCCGTCTGACAGCGATCAAGTGGCCCCCCTCCCCCTTCACCTCCCTCTCGTGTTCCCAGCAAGTTGGCCGAGAAGTCAGCGAGGAACAACTTTATACGTGAATGTGTTTTCCATTCTATCCGCCATGATTGTTGGCCGTGCCGCCTGGGCTGCGCGTCTGGTCCTGCGGTGCACACCAGCGAGGCCCGGGGTGGCGGAGGCGGGGGAGCATCTCCTCGTGCCCCCTCCTCAGCCCCCTCCTCGAGCCCCCGCGCCCCGCCCCTCGGCCCCGCTCGGACGTCCCTCGGGGCGGATCTGATTTCGCATCAATATGCCAGCAAGTTTGCCCAACTTCATGCCGGGCGATTTTTCATACTTCCAGCGATGCTGCCCGGACGCGCTGCCGTCCGCCGGCCTCATCATTAGCACGGGGAAGTCGGCGGCCACGTCACTCCGTCTCTCTCGCTCAGCTTCAGCGTCTCGCGTCGTGTGAGAGAGACGAACCGACGCGTCCGAAATCGGTCGGTGTGGCGCCAAGGGCGGCGGAGGCGAGGAGCGCGCCCTTTTGTTGGTCCACCTTCCACTTCCGAGGCGCGGAAAAGGGTTTCAGGGTTTCAGGGTTTCAGCAGGGCGAATGCCGCGCCGCGCGGAGGCTTTCCTTTGCCCGGCAGCGACGCGACTTTCCGCGGGAAAGCCCCGTGTGCGCGGCGCGGACACACGCGGAAACACACAGACACACACACACAAACACACTCGCGGGCGCGGTGGTGGGTCCTTGTGCAGTGGCCGTGCCCCCTCCCCCCTACCCCTTAGCCGACGCCGTTCACTTTTATATTTATCGCCCGCCATCTTTTTTTAAGGGCTGAACGGGCGTTTGGCCGCACCGCGGCGCCACGCCCCGCCACGCCCCGCCCCGCCCCGCCCGGCCGGCCAGGCTTTGGCCGCTGCGCTTTGGCGTTCCGCGTAAACAGATAACGCGCCGGACCTTTGTGCGGCCTCGGCCCGACGGCCTCGCCTTCTGGCCTCGGAGGCCGTCGTGCTGGTCGTCATCGTCGGCGTGCTCGTGGAGGCACTGGAGGCCCTCCCTCGGGCTGCCTGCGGCTGCTGGAGGCCGATCGGTTTTCTTTCTCGCACGCACTTTAGTGACCTGCACTGCATGAAGGGGGCCGCGCCGAGCGCAAGAAAAGAGCGGACCCTTTGTGGAGGCGAGCCTAGGCGGGCGTGGCCGCGGACCACCCATCAGCCTGACGGCCCGCAGGCTGAGAGTCGTTCTCCTCGCTCTGTCTCTCTCGCACCTCAACGGGACGCCTCACGAGTGCGAGAGAGACAGAGCGATGAAAACGACTCTCGGAGTCAGTCTGTTGACGGCCTCGGCGGCGGGCACCAAGCCAGCGCAGCGCAGTGGACGCCCCACCGCGCGCCGAGCCCAGCCACCCCAAGTGAAATCAGCACGGAAGAAACAAAAACAAATCGTTGATACAACTCAAATTTTGAAGCCCAAATTACTTTGAATCCACTTAAATGTAGTTGTCCAAATTGCTTCGAAACTCGAATTGATTTGAATAGACCGAGATTTTTTTTTGAAGCCACTGAACTTTTTCCCTTGTCAACAACATTGGGTCAATCAACGGATCACCACTAGGCCACAAGATGGTGCTATATAGTCGCCTGGAAGGTAGGCAATAATCCATACGTTACGTTGCACCAGTAAGTAGTCAAAAAGTGCAACTTTGCCTCCTCCCAGAGTGTCCCACAGGCCGGTTCTGGATCCACCACTGGTATAGGATGGAGGTCTAACCGCCTTCAAAGTGGAGGCTCGCGGACACGATCCACATCCTCGTCCTGGCCTCCTCGTCCTGGCCTCCTCGTCCTGGCCTCCTCGTCCTGGCCTCCTCGTCCTGGCCTCCTCGTCCTGGCCTCCTCGTCCTGGCCTCCTCGTCCTGGCCTCCTCGTCCTGGCCTCCAAGCCTCCAAGCCTCCCAGCCTTGGTCCTCGAGGACGCCGCGCCAGGCTGCGCTCCGTTGCCTTGATGGAAACAAAACAGCTGGATATCGGGATGCCACTCGAGTCGGCTTTGCCTTGCAGACTGTTTCCGAAAGTACCTTTGCGTCGCTCTGTCTCCCTCGGTCCTTTACGGGGCACCCAAAGAGTACGAGAGAGACGGAGCGACGAAAACGACTCTCGGAATCAGTCTGCTGGCTGTGCCGCGCGGATAGGTGCTTCCTAATGATGTTGTCCCAAGGACGACGCGTTCAAGGCCGCCGTTCAGAACCGCAATCAGGCGGAGCTGCAATCTAAATACCAATGTGGCGGCGCCAGCTTCCACATCATCACCACCATCATCAATTTTAAGGCGTTACACATCATTCCGCCGTTCAACACTGTTTTTCACGCCGATGGTTTTGTAGCGTAACGGATCCACATGTTGACTCTTGTATTGGCTACTGTCTTGACTTGCTTTCAACGTCTAGAAATACAAGAAATTGACATGCTGTCAAATTCTCTTCGGCCTCGTCTCTCTAGACTCGTCTCTCTAGACTCGTCTCTCTAGACTCGTCCTCTAGACTCGTCTCTCCAGACTCGTCTCTCAAGTACAGACGCACCGAGTGTCCTACGCAAACGACTCCGCTGGCGCGATCCTACGTTCCAGGTGCGGCACAACATCTTTTTTCTCTTTTTGATTTGGTCCGTCCGAGACAATCGTAAAGATGGTGCCAGGGGGCCTCAAACCGGCCGCGACCCGGTGGTCGCCGGGTCGCCTCGATGACGCATCTCCGCCGTGGTCACTGTCTCCAGCTATGTCACCGCCTGGTGTGTCCTGCGTCCTGGCCGCTCCGTTCGGGAACACTTCCCAGAGTCGCGAGGCTCACGCCGGGCAGGCCTGGCGTGGATCGCGGACACGCTTCGCGAGGCAACGACTTGGCGGCACGCCGTCGATGCTCGACTCGGCGGCCTTCCGACTCAAGCCACTCCCAACGCCTCCTCCTCCGCGCGCGCGGCGCGCGCTTCCACCTCCTCTGTCTCTCTCGCACACGCAACACCGATGAGTGCGAGGCAGACAGCGCGACTAAAGCCCAGACTACATGACGACGGGCGAATAAGCAAGCCAGGCTGCCTTCCCCCGCCTCTCTCTCTCTCTCTCTCTCTCTCTCTCTCTCTCTCTCTCTCTCTCTCTCTCTCTCTCCGGGTGTCGGTACGAGTGCCGGCCGGCCCCACACTGGTACGGAGCGGCGCGCTTCAGACTCATTCGCCGACTCGCGAGGCTGGCGACATGGCCCGCTTCCTGGAGCTCCTCGTCGTGGGCCTGGTGGGCCTGGCGCTCGGCCTGGCGCTCGCGGACGCGGCCAAACTTCGTAAGTAGCGCGCCGGTGAGCGAGATCGCTATGGCAGGGTGCACTCCTTTCGTTAGAGGGGGAATCTTGTCATGTTTTGTTTATCTGATTATGATGTCACATTCGTTTGGACGGTGATCCACGTCGAAACGGATGTGGCATCCTAGGCCGTGTCTCATGCAAACGGATGTGACACTGTATGCAAACGAACGTGACAAGGTTCACATCCTAACGAGTATGACGTCACATTCGTTGAATAACCATGGGTGGTTCAATGCCAGGGCACCGAGACCGGCGAACTGCAAGTGTGGGGCAGACCGTCTCAGATTTCAAGGTGTGAGTCATTAGTGTGACACTGACAGGTACACTTCCAGGTTTGAGGTATTCGTGTCTGACACTTGTGGGCGTAATCCACTTTGGTTCACGCAAAACAGTGCCAGGCCGTCCTACACTTGGATTTCCGTGTGGTCAACAAATCACTCGCACACGAAAAAAAAAAAGACTTCAATGCGATGATCAACTTTGTTCGATAGTTGCGGTAGAAAAGTCAATACTAACACAACCAACAGCTGCAACCGGAAACTCGTAAGAGGACGAGTGAGCCGGGGCACACTGAGCGGCCTTTGGGCTTACAGTGCACGTTGAGCTCACCTCGACGCCTCGGCTCCGTGTGCCTCAATTGCCTTGTGTTCTCCTTAATTGTGCAAGCAGGCGACCTTGACTGCGTCTGATCACTGGCAGACTCAAACTGCTACTCTCTCGACAACCTGTTTTTGTTCCATTGTGATGGTGTTTTTCTTTTTTGCCGCTCCTCGATACAGTTTATTCAACACCACTGTTGGGAATGTTGTTCTGAAATTTAAATGTCTGCGCAACGAGTCAACTCAAATGGTTTGCCACAGCTGCCTACTTCCGCCCGAAGTGCTCCCGACGGTCATCCGACGAGGTCCTGTCTGCGTGCGTCCAGAAAGTCGCCAACCAAGGCGTCAGCTCGCTCGCAAACGGTACGCCACTGTGTTGCCTTCACACGCGGGTAAAACAAAGGCATCAAAAATCTGTCTCAAACGATTTCCGTTTTGAGAACGGTGAGAATCGGTTTGTGCCCTTTGAAGTACGTATAGAATATCTAGGCGAAATTTTAATTCCCTTCTAAATGCATTCCGCCCTTCAAGGGCATAGTTTTCATGCCTTTGTTTAACAGTGCTCACTAAAGTCCTTACGGACGTGTGATTTGTATCCTGCAGATAGTTTTGTGCAGTCCTGATTCAGTTGCAATCTTGTTGGAAAAACAGACGGATTTGTCCGTTGTAGGATTTGACTAACTTGATTTCTTTGTAAGCTTACGCACACCAAAACCTTTGCATTGAAAAACATTTGAATCAGTTAATTAATTAAAGTGGCACGAAACTGGCCATAACCTACAATATAGCTGCATGCGTTCAGACCTTAGTGTGTACGTGCCCTGTAAAACATTTTTGTCACTTTATGACAAAATCGTGGGTGACATTTTCATCACTTGCAAGTGATGACATTGTCATTCCAAAGTGATGACATTTTCATCGATTCTATACTTATTGCATGGGCGTGACAACAATGTCATCAAATGTTTCGATGATACCCTCGCAAGCTTGCAAGGAATATTAGCCCTGAAATTATCATCAAAAGGCAACCAAAATTTTCACAGTGTGCTGAGAGTGATTTCCAATCCCTTGCCAGGAGACAAGAAGCTCGGCATCCCCAGCATGCGTCCGCTGGTGGTGCCCCGGATGGCACTGTCTCAGGGCACGAGCACCGTGGGCCTCAACATCACCTGGGAGCCGGCTGAGATCTGGGGACTGGGCGAGAGCCGCCTCTATAACTACAAGTAGGACCAAAATATTTTCTTTTCCATTTTGTGAAAGTTACAATTTGCAGCGTGGAGAACTCCTCACTTCCTGGTGCACAGTAATTCTCCACACTGGACGAGTGGGAGGCTCCACGCGTCCAGTGTGGAGTACCTCACAGAGTCCCTATCTCTCGGTTTGGCAATGTAAACGCACCCAAACTCTCATTTTCGTCCTCTGCTGCAGGACGAACTACGCCAACAAGAGCACCCACTTCGACGTGCTGATCCCCTCCTTCACCTTGTCCGGCACGTACCGGTCCAGCGGCCGGGTGCTGCTGCTGCCCATCCACGGCAACGGCCCCTCCAACGTCACCGTCAGTAAGTACACCACAAGGGCACGACACTGTCGAACCAACTTGGAACGCGGAGGCGTGGAAATCGCAGTTTCCGCACTTGCAAATGCAAAGTTTGTAGTCTCACACTGCAAGTGTTGAATTCTCCTTTTTTGCACCAAACCGTGAGCTACTCCACACTTGAAACGTGGAGGCGTCAAACTTTGGAGAATTACTCTGCACAACAGGAGACTTGGTTTGACTGTGAGGCTTCACTGTGGGGAAAACTTCGGGAAGGACCAACCTAATTGTCACGGTGTTGAATGCAAGATATAAAAGCTGTGGTTATGGTGACGACAAAATTAGTCGCTCATGTCTTACACCTTTTATTTTTGCTCCAGCCAACCTAAGAGTTCACTACTACTACGAGTGGCCCACAAAGAAGAATGCCGACGGCAAGGAATACTTCTACATCCCCAAGTCGGACATCAACATTATCGGGGCGGACGCCATGTACATCAACTTCGACAATCTCTTCAACGGCGACCAGACGCTAGGTCAGTTGGAAAAAGGGTGGCCCGCCGTGGTCCACACCCGGGAAAGAAGGTCCTTGAAGCAAGATTTGTTCGTGTCGCAAAGTACCACCATCCGCTCAAACATGGCACAATCGACTGATTCTTGCTGGTGCAAAATCATTTCATGCACAATTTTCTGCATGCCTTTTTCATACATTATCAGAAGGCAATCACACCCTAGAGTGCCTCTTAGTAACCGAGTGCAATATGGTGGCAGCAGAACCTAAGATACTCAAATTACTCATCTTTGCGGGTGTGCTTACCGCGTAACAACGTATGAAAAATGTGTCCTATGAATAGATGTGTATTTCAAGAAGGGCGTACGGTCTTGAAGCCTGGTTCTATGCTTGAATGCAGCGTAGAACCACACGATTTACTTTTCCCAGTGCAGAGACTAACGCATTTGTGGCTTGCGCAGGCAACAGCATGAACTTGTTCCTCAACGAGAATTGGCGGGAGCTGCTAAAGGAGCTGGGCCCCGGCATGGCCGAGGCCGTGGGGGGAGTGGTGCTGCTGGTGGTCAAGAGGCTGTCGGAGCTCGTCCCAGCAGACGACTTCTGGGCCGATCGGTGAAACTATTCTTAGAAATTAAATAAACATTGATATAAGCCGATGGAGTGCCAGGGCATGTTGCCTGCATTATTTCCCACGGCTTGCACGACACTCACGTGCCCTCCACTGGCCGGAAACGATCCAGCTATTCTTGGCGCTACTGGCAGGCAAATAAATAAAGAAATAAAGTCTGTGAAACGCCCACTTACAAACGTACATTGTAGGAAAATGTACTTACAGACACCAGCGTCGTTAGATCGACGAGTCATTTGGTGGTAATTTTGGGACACGCGGCGGAAATGGGACAGCTGTTTACGGGACTAGAATCATGAATAGAGCTCATGCCATATCAAATATGATGTTTTTTATAGTGAAAATAACGTCTGACATGGCACGAGTTCGAAAGAGGCAAGTCTTATCCAGGAAACAGCTGACTCATATTAGTCCCGTGTCCCAAAATTACCCTGACTGACCACATCTGAAAATTCATGGAACAAAAACACTCTCACTACGATTATGCAACCAAAAAACCAAAATAGTTTTTTTCTTCCCAATAATGTGAATCAGCGTACAGTTCCTTTTGTTCAAAGTGCACCACCACTACTGGTGCAGCTCCTATCAGATGCAGGCCAGACGCGGCCGGCCGCCGCGCGCACCGTTCAGTTCTGTCTGCGGTCGGCCGCATCACGCCATGCCGTACCGCGCTCGGGGGTTGATCTGTGGTCGGGGGGGTGGGGCACTGCGGGACGCGCTCACACGGCTCGCCGCTCGCTCTCTCCCTCTCTCTCGCTCCCCCCCCCTCTCTCTCTCTCTCTCTCTCTCTCTCTCTCTCTCTCTCTCTCTCCCCCCGCCCCCCTAAAAGCCCAGGGGGATTAGCGGGAAGCTGGACCACAAAATTTGACGAGGCCGTGGCGTGTGGCGGCGTGTGGCGGCGTTCCGTCCCGGGATGGCGGACCCACCAGAGCCACGTCCGCCGCGTCCTGCACTGTGAAACGCGCTGGAGCGGCGAAGCACCACACAATGTGAGAAAGAAGTGAGGCATGACAAGTCGCCGACAAAAAGCGGCGCTAATGAAAGAACTTTCGTCAAAGGCCGAGCTTCCCTGCTGGAGCACGGCTTCATCCCCCCGGACGACGCGGCAACCCTGCACCTGCACTGTGAGGACGAAAGCCACGCGGACACGCAAAAGTCCATTAACGAACAGTGACTTTGATTATTGCATTTTCCCTCCGTGTCTGCTTTTTCGCTTCGGACTGCCCCCTGTCAACCCCTCTTTTTTTTCGCTGTCAGCAGTAATGACAACCCGACCGGAGGGTTCCCCGCGCTGTCCAGGCCAATCTGGGACGGCCGCAACTTTGTTGACAGGAAATTGCGCTTGTGTGCGTGTGTGTGCGCGCGCGTGTCTGTGTGTGTGTGTGTGTGTGTGTGTGTGTGTGTGTGTGTCGCTCGTGCCGGAGTCAAAGTGAAATAATTGGAGTCCTAAACGCGGCGTAATCTGAGCGCGATCCCCGCCACTTGCGCGCCGTAGCGCTAACCAACCCGACGGCTGGCTGGGCTCCCCGGTGTGGCGCCAGGCAGCGCCAGTCCGCCTCGGCGTGTCGTGCGGTCGGCACGGCCAGGGCACGGCCAGGGCACGGCCAGGGCACGGCCAGGGCACGGCCAGGGCACGGCCAGGGCACGGCCAGGGCACGGCCAGGGCACGGCCAGGGCACGGCCAGGGCACGGCCAGGGCACGGCCAGGGCACGGCCAGGGCACGGCCAGGGCACGGCCAGGGCACGGCCAGGGCACGGCCCGCCTGGCGCGCAGCGCGCCGCGACCGCACTATGCTATACTGGCCACCCCCTGCCCGCCCCTCCCTGCAGGGCCGGGCTTAGCGCGGCTTCATCCAGGCGGCTCGGCAGGGAGGCTGGGGCTGCAGGGCTTAGCGGCCGCGGTGCGACTACAGCGCCACTCACTACAGCACCACCGCGACGGCAGCACACCACAGCCAGCCAGCCAGCCAGCGGGGCACCTCGACGCTAACCTGCTTTTCACTCTGAAATGCTGTTTCAGGCAGCGGGGCACTACAGGGCCGACGGGGGCGGGACAAGGGCTGTAGGCAGAGGGGAGAGATTGCCATGTAGCGCACCTGGTGGCTTGCGGGTTACGACCGCCACGTGTTGGTTAAGACTGTCAATCCGCCTCCCCCATGCCTCCGTCTCTCTGTCTCTCTCGCACCCCGACGGCCCATGCGGCACGCGCCGTGAGTGCGACAAGGAGCAATGAGTCTTGCCCCGACTCGTGGACGCGGCGTGGATTCGCAGTGTGCATTCATTCATCGATCGGCGGCATCGGGATCCACTCCTCATCCTCGGCCACAGTGGGCCTGAAGACCGGTGGAGGCGGCCAAAACTCCAGACGCGTTCTGCACTCCAGAGTCGCTAAATGTGGCTCAACCAGGACGTGTGACCCCACAGATGGATTGCTCTCCGAACGAGAAATCTAATTTTGGTAGGGTGACACGTTCGGTTCGAGTCCTGTTTGTTTAGCGACTCTGGAGCTCTAAACGGGTCTAGAGCATTGACAGCCTCCACCGGTCCACTCTCATTCCAGGAACGTGACACCACGTTGGAACGAACGTGACCAAATGTCACGTTCCTTTGACCATTGTGTCACATTCGTTTGAATGCGAACAAGCTTATTTTTGGCCCATTCACATCCAACCGAATGTGACACAATGCTCAAACGAACGTGACATTTTGTCACGTTCGATTCAACGTGATGTCACGTTCCTGGGATTAAAGGGATCTCCTGGCCCACTGAGCACTCTGGGAGTGCTCTAACGAGTGGCTACGATCCTTCGCGAGGTTTGAGAGCAGCGAGCACAGAACGGCGAACGCACGGTTTCTGCAGTCAAGAGCAGTTCAGGTGGTATCCGCATATCATTTGCATCGCTTTACGTCTCGGGATCAAAATCACAACAGCCCGGGGAAAAGGACGAGGGGGAAGAGTAGAGAGGGGGGGGGGGCGGCAAGTTTATGACTCGCAAATAAAGCCGTACTCCGTGTCGTCCTCCAGGACACGTGTTGGCCCTGATGATTCATAGCAGTCCCCGCTACCAATATCTACGTCGACTGGGCCAGGGGCAGGGGCAGGGGACAGTGCGACACACACACACACACACATACACACACACACACCTGCCGACACACACACACCACGCTGAAAAGGCAAACCTACACACCAGGCGCGCGCGGGTCACTCCGGGTCCAATTTAGGAGTGCTCCCTTATCCCCTTTGATATTCAAACTTACGCTCTCCCCCTCCCCTGCGACCTCCAACCGCCGCCGCGCGCTCCGTTACAATGTGTGTTCGAAGTCCCCCGCACGACACGGGGCAGGAGCCCTCGCCCCGCAGAATACGATAGGCAGCCGTGCTTTGTCGCGCAGCCGGACAGCCCCTCCCCCTTCCTCTCCTCCGCACCGTGCCTCACACGCCCCCGCAACCCCACCACTGGGCTGCACCCCTCCCGAGGAACAGGTTGGAGCATCAATCACTAGCAGTTGTCTCTGTCTCCCCCTCCCTCTCCGAATAACGTTGGGGCAGCGTGTGACAAGTGGATGCCCCGCAGCCCAGCGCGGGGCATGCATCGTAAAGTGATGAAACACATTAGCGGCGCTGTTCTCGTCTGCCCGACGGGCCGTCATAGCAGGTCTTGCATCGGTTCTGCAGGCTGAGCACTGCTTTCGAAGCCATCTCTCTCTCTCGCTCCCTTCCGAAACGCCCCAGGAGTGCGAGAGAGCCAGCGCGACGAGAGCAGTGCTCAGCCTGCCGGTCAACACTCTCCCCAGCACTTCCCTGCCCTGGCGCGGTCGCTCAGAACTGCACTCCGCAAATCCAACCGTGGCGCAGCAGTCCCACACTCTGATTTGCAAGGCACTCTTAACACCTTCGCGCCGAAGCCAAGTTTGGTGGAAAAGCCTAGATGCCGAAGGTGCTAACTTCCGAACCTTACGTCGCAACCACATGGCACATGGATATTCGGACTTGGTATGACCACCCAAACACCATGCGCCAAAAATCTCCTATACGAGAACCATGTTCTCGTGTCGGCGTCTGAGCCTTTGCCGTACGAGAACCATTTTTCTCGTACCGGCTGAAAGGCCACAATTGGTGGAAAAGGGGATGATAAAATTAGAACTAAAAAAAAAAAAAAAATGGACTCAGCCTCTTTACACCGGTGCGAGAACATGGTTCTCGCACGACAAAAGCCCAAATGCCGATACGAGAACATGGTTCTCGTCGCGACCTTTTTTCGTTCAAAACCTCTAGAAAAGATGGGGTAACTCGGATCGAAAAAGCGATGTCATTTTTGGCACGAGAACCATGTTCTCGTGGCGGCAGGAACGGATCGCAAACACGAGAACCATGTTCTCGTACCGGCAGGAACGGATCGCAAACACGAGAACCATGTTCTCGTACCGGCGGGAACGCCACTTCACCAAGGTAAATTCACAAAAGTACGAGGACCTTTTTTGTGAATTTACCTTGGTGAAATGGTTTTCCCCGCCGGTACGAGAACATGGTTCTCGTGTTTGCGATCCGTTCCTGCCGGCACGAGAACCAGTTCTCGTGCCAAATTACATGCTCGAGATTTAAAATTTTTTAGCCGAAATGTGGAAATTTTACGCAGATTCCGAATATGGCATCGCTTTTTCGATCCGAGTTACCCCATCTTTTCTAGAGGTTTTAAAACGAAAACAGCTCGTGACGAGAACCATGTTCTCGTATCGGCGTTTGGGCTTTCAGCGTGCGAGAACCATGTTCTCGCACCGGCGCGAAGGTGTTAATATGCATTTCCCCCGTCATTTCAGGGGTTGTCTATGACAATACAGGAAGCATAAGCCCTGACAGAGTCCGAGTGTGGTGTGTGTGTGTGTGTGTGTGTGTGTGTGGGGGGGGGGGGGGCGACTAGGCCGTCGTTCGGAGCATCGAAAGAGCAAAGGCGCGACAATGTCGACCCTTCGCGAGGCTGGCCTCAAAACTCCCGATGTAACATCCCTTCCCGAGGCTAGCCTCAAAACT